GTTTCCGAGCCGCAGAGAAGCGGGATGGTCACAGCCAGGGGTGCCCCGTGCACGGACTTACTTGCCACCGATCACATCCATGGTGAATCTCAGGGCTTCCTGGACTGTTTCTGGCTGGCCCTGCAGAAACCAGAGTGAGTTAGCACAGGCAGGGAACGGGTATCACTGCCACAGCGGCTAACCGCAGTCCCGCATGCTGCGCCCACAGCCCGAGCGTGCCCGGCAGCCACCTTTCCTCGCACCCCATAAAGGAACGGAGGTGCCCGCAGGCAGCCCCAAATCCTCCGCATCCCCGTTTCGCGCGCCACGGGGCCATCCTCAGTTTCCCGAGCACCGCAGCACCGACATCAGGGGCTCCGTGGGGAGCCCACCAACGCGGCAGGGCTGCACGCTGCAGACCCACGGCCCTTCCAGAGCTCCTCCCGAATGATTAAAACCAAATTGATTCCCGCTAAAGCCCCGGCAGACCAAGTGACCAAGAGACAGCAGTGCCTTGGGCTTGGCTGGGTGTCCCAGAGGGAAGCAAAGCGACGCTTTGGGAAGCCAGCACAGGGTTGCCAACCCAGTCAACAGCAAAGAAAGTTTTTTAAACTGACACCGCCGGTTCTCATCTTCTCAGCCTGGCATCCCACTGGACCGAGCCACTACTCAGCACAGGAACTTTAAAAAAAACCCCACTAATTACTGCTACCGGATGGAGCAGGAACGCACCTTTGCCAGCTTGATAGCTTCGTTGAGTTTATCCAGAGCGCTCTGGAAGTAGATGACCTGCAGAGGGACCGGGAATTAGGGTTACCAGGGCTGGCACAGAAGTAGGTGCCCGGGCTTTGTGCAGGAACACTGCCGCCAGCCCCCGAGAGCTGCAGCTTCCCTCAGCGTAGCGGAGCTTTCCCAGAACGCCCGCACGTGCTTCAGGAGGCAGGGCATCACGGGTGACACGCTCGTGGCCCTAGCGCTGCATTAGCGTGACAATCGCTTCCAGGACTCCACCCTCCCACGGCAGGACCACGATCCAGAGCCCGAACCGGACGAGATGAGCTGACACGGCTCTGCTTACCCTTTCCCCAAACTTCTGCTGCTCCTCGGCCTGTTTTCCCATGTGCAGCTGCAAGAAAAGACGCAGCAGCAGCGTCAGAGCTCCTTAACTCATGGGAGATCTTTGAAACGGGCAAGAAAACCCCACGGAGCAGCCAAAGCCCGTTTGGCAGTCATGTTGCGGTGAGCACCGCGGCGGGCGTGAGCAGCCCACGCTGGGGTGGGAGCCAAGGGCGGGTCCCCCCACCACAGCCAAGCAGCCCCCCGAATTGTCCTCCCCGCTTACATGGGCCACAGCAGCGAAATAGTAGATCTTCATTTGAACCAGCTTCTTCCAGTCCTTCTGGATCTTTCCCAGCAGCGAAGCCGTCTCCGAGTTTTCCAGCGCCCGGCAGGCTTCTTTGTAGTAATCCACCACCTACGGAGAGAGGGACAGGGGTTTGGAAACCCCCCCCAAAAAGCTGGATCCCAGGGGGAACCGAGAGCAACGAGGGAAAGGAGGATTCACCGGCACCAGCGTTTGTGCCCACAGCCTCAGATCAGCCAGCACGGCAAAACGGCCGGTGGGGACCCTGCGGATGGGTTTTGGGTCAGAGCCAGGGACTAGGGACATCGCCACGATAAACCTACCCCAGATGGAGGGTCATGGAAAAGTTTGGGTTGGAAGGGACCTTAAAGATCATCTCGTTCCAACCCCCTGCCATGAGCAGGGACCGCTTTAACCAGATCAGGGTGCTCACAGCCC